CACCCTTCCCCACCCCGGCAGCCGACGGTGAAGTACGAGACGCAGCCGCGGTTCATCACGGCGACGGGCGGCACCCTCCACCTCTACCAGCTGGAGGGGCTGAACTGGCTGCGCTTCTCCTGGGCCCAGAGCACCGACACCATCCTGGCCGACGAGATGGGGCTGGGCAAGACCATCCAGACCATCGTCTTCCTCTACTCCCTCTACAAGGAGGTGAGGTCGCTCTCGCCTGGTCCCCGGTGTCACCCGCCTGGCCCCGGTGTCACCTGCCTGGTTCCTGGTGTCACTCGCCTGGCCCTGGTGTCACCCGCCTGGCCCTGGTGTCACCCACTTGGCCCCTGCTGTCACCCGCCTGGCCTCTGGTGTCACCCACTTAGACCTTGGCGTCTCCGCCTTGGCCCCCATGTTGCCCACCTTGTCCCTGGTGTCACCCACCTGGTTCTGGTGTCACCCGCCTGGTCCTGGTGTCTCTCCCTTTGCCCCCGGTGTCACCCGCCTGGCCCTGGTGTCACCCACTTGGCCCCTGCTGTCACCCGCCTGGCCTCTGGTGTCACCCACTTAGACCTTGGCGTCTCCGCCTTGGCCCCCATGTTGCCCACCTTGTCCCTGGTGTCACCCACCTGGTTCTGGTGTCACCCGCCTGGTCCTGGTGTCTCCCCCTTTGCCCCTGGTGTCACCCGCCTGGCCCCAGTGTCACCCACCTGGCCCCGATGTCACCTGCCTCGTCCCTGGTGTCACCCACTTGGCCCCTGGCGTCTCCCTGTTGGCTCCCATGTTGCCCACCTGGCCCCTGGTGTCACCCACTTGGCCCCTGGTATCTCCCTCCTGGCCCCTGCTGTCACCCACCTGGCCCTGGTGTCTCTCCCTTTGCCCCCGGGGTCACTCGCCTGGCCCTGGTGTCACCCACTTGGCCCCTGGTGTCTCCCCCTTAGGCCCCCATGTTGCCCACCTTGTCCCCGATGTCACCCGCCTGGCCCTGGTGTCACCCACTTGGCCCCTGCTGTCACCCGCCTGGCCTCTGGTGTCACCCACTTAGACCGTGGCGTCTCCGCCTTGGCCCCCATGTTGCCCACCTGGTTCTGGTGTCACCCGCCTGGTCCTGGTGTCTCCCCCTTTGCCCCTGGTGTCACCCGCCTGGCCCCAGTGTCACCCACCTGGCCCCGATGTCACCTGCCTCGTCCCTGGTGTCACCCACTTGGCCCCTGGCGTCTCCCTGTTGGCTCCCATGTTGCCCACCTGGCCCCTGGTGTCACCCGCCTGGCCCTGGTGTCTCTCCCTTTGCCCCCAGTGTCACCTGCCTGGCCCTGGTGTCACCCACTTGGCCCCTGGTATCTCCCTCCTGGCCCCTGCTGTCACCCACCTGGCCCTGGTGTCACCCACCTGGCCCCTGGTGTCACCCACTTGGCCCCTGGTGTCTCTCCCTTAGCCCCCATGTCACCCGCCTGGTCCCCGGTGTCACCTGCCTGGTTCTGGTGTCACCCGCCTGGTCCTGGTGTCTCTCCCTTTGCCCCCGGTGTCACCCGCCTGGCCCTGGTGTCACTCGCCTGGCCCCTGGTGTCTCCCCCTTAGGCCCCCATGATGCCCACCTTGTCCCCGGTGTCACCTGCCTGGTTCTGGTGTCACCCACTTGGCCCTGGTGTCTCTCCCATTGCCCCCGGTGTCACCTGCCTGGCCCTGGTGTCACCCACTTGGCACCTGGTATCTCCCTCCTGGCCCCTGGTGTCACCCACTTGGCCCCCAGCGTCACAAGCCTGGCCCTGGTGTCACCCACCTGGTCTCCGTTGTCACCCACTTAGCCCCTGGTGTCACCCGCTTGGCCCCTGGCATCTCTCCCTTGGCCCCCATGTCACCCGCCTGGTCCCTGGTGTCACCCACCTGGTCCTGGTGTCTTGTACCTGGTCCCCGGTGTCACCTACCTGGTCCCCAATGTCACCTTCTTGCTTCATGGTGTCACCCACCTGGCCCCTGGTGTCACCCGCCTGGCCCACGCTGTCCCCACGTCCCCCAAGGACCCCGTCCCATGCCACCCCCCCATCCCTCTGTGTCACACTGTCCCCACGTCCCCCAAGGGCCCCGTCCCCGTGTCCCCGTGTGACGCGCTGTCCCCCAGGGCCACACCAAGGGCCCGTTCCTCGTCAGCGCCCCGCTCTCCACCATCATCAACTGGGAGCGGGAGTTCCAGATGTGGGCCCCCGCCTTCTACGTTGTCACCTACACCGGGGACAAGGACAGCCGGGCCATCATCCGCGAGAACGAGTTCTCCTTCGATGACAATGCCATGAAGGGGGGCAAGAAGGCCTTCAAGATGAAGGTGAGCCCGATTTTGGGGTCCCCAGGGGGTTTGGGGTGCTGGGGGGGTGACCTGGACATTGGGGTCCCCAGGGGTTTGGGGTGCTGGGGGGGTGACCTGGACATTGGGGTCCTCAGGAGTTTGGGGTGGTGGGGTCCCC